TTATAAGCTTTAATAAGCAGATTGATGCTCCAGAACACCGCTGTCTTGACTCCAACTACTTGAAATATCAAAGGCCATGCAGAAAGAATTGTCTTGCAACCGTTGAATCTGAGTTTTACTCAATAACATTTGCATGATTTGGAAAGAAAGCACATACAACTTTCCATTGCTAAAGACGCCGGCCATCTTGGAAATATTTAGAAAACCCGGGGGGTGCATTTTATACAAAACAAGTTCGTTCGCAGGGGAGGGGGGATCGTCAATACTGGCGCTCATTATTTTTCCAATTTTGGAAGTATGAAAAACGAGTTTTAAAAAATTGAAACCGTATTCAAAGTTTATCTTTTTGAAATGAAAAAAATGAAAAACAAAATTTGAAATCTGAAACTCATTTTTCAAAAATAGAATTTTGAAAATCACGATCAAAATTCAAATTCCAATTTTCAAAATTTGAAATGATAGGCCTAATTGCTATATTTTTATATTTTGAAATATATGAAAATTGAATGGCGGAATGGTACACGCATTGGTTGGCTACTTTAAACTTTTTTTCTCAAAGCTAAATATAACCAATAAAAAACCAATGTTGGATTTGGTATTTAACTTGGATATTGCCAAATCAGGTCAATATCCAAACTTGATCAGACTTGTTTTTTTGATATTTTTTCCAGTGCAGTTTATACAGTGCTATATAAAATGGAGTTTGACAGACTCGAGATGTTATCTTGTTTGCCTGTCTGATAAAAACACCAAGAATATCTGATCCAGAATGACAGGAAACACTACAAACACCTATCCATCTTTACTGAGCGTCCTGACGATCTACAGTACTTAATTAGCTTATTTTCGAAAACAAAACGTTGACCTAAATCTGCAGTCGAACCTATCTAATATTATTGGGAAAAATCGAAGCTGCCTACAAGATAAATCTAGGTTGCAAATTCTCTTATCAAGTAAACGAGATGGCAAGCTGGGCTGTAGAAATATTGTCGTTGATTCCCAACTACTTTACTTACTCTTAAAAGACATTTTTGTAACTCGCGACCCTTTGCATCAAAAATGCTCGAATAGTAACGAATTTTACGTCATGTATTAGTTTAATTATTTGAGCTATTAGTGACGTGTTCGTAACTTAATTTGTTCGAAAATCTGATTCTTAAATTGAGTCCTTGGCTTTTTTTTACATTTTAAGAATTTGATCTATGTTTACATAAACTGCTTACATAGGATTTTAAATAAAACAAATCCAATCCGTCGACTGACAAGCGAAGTACTAAAATTTAATAGTAAATTAAAAATGTTTGCGAGGGAGTATAAAATGGCAAAATTTGCTCGAAGCCGGTCATTTGTCTATCCTAGCTTGATTACATTATTATTTTTTTGTTTTCTTTGCAATGTCGTCGTCGTGTTTTCTTGGGACTTTTGACTTGTTGAGCCTGAAAATAAAAGAATAATATAATACTTGAAACTACTTTTATGCTACAAAATTAAAGTCATCCATGGGCTAAATAGCTGAAAACTGGACAATATAAATTGAGCTTCAAAAAAGTAATGCGGCAACGCTCAAGATGTGCAGTATTTTTTTATATTGTCAACACCAAAACCTACCGGAATATGTTCAGTTGCTTTATTCACCATCTTTGTAAGATTTGCCTGCGATTTGACAACATCTTCGTCTTCATCTTCATCTTCTGATGAACTTTGTTCATTATGTCCTCGAACAAGCCAAGGAAGGCAGAACTTAGTTGACGCCGCGGCATAGTCAGCATTTGTCATGCTCTCCCATATTGCTCTCTTACTTTCTTCCTGTTTCAGAAATTCTTCCCACCATAGCACATCGGCATGGGTCAAACGTGTCGATAGATTGTCAATATGGGAGCGCATGACATCTACCGGTCTTAAGACATCAGGCCTTCCCTCGGGAATCTGTTTTAAGACCGTGTAACCAACATCTGTCTTGTCTTTCCCCTGCCATGACTGGTCTGAATTGGCCAACTGCTTGTAGTGCATGACTACGTTTCCTTTCGAGTCTCTCTTGAATCGGAATGCATGAGGCCGACTATGATACTTGAGTCTCTCCAGATATGGAGTCATCCACTTTTTAAAGTCGTATATGTTTTCTATATAGACTGTGCTGGGATGAGGTGTATACGACTTGAATATTACTTGTCGCAGTTTAGATATGGTCTGAACATCATTACTGGAAAATAACAGTAGTAATAACTCCTTTTACATGATAAAGTAATAACTCGACAAGAAAAATAAAAAAAGATCATGATTATGGCTGGTGAGCAAAATATTTAACTACCTGGTCTACATCAGCATGCGTATGTCCAACTATCAAATACGACAACCGTACCTGCAACAAAGTCACATACAAATAATGAGTTTCAATATCGGTATACCATTTGCTGCGAATTTGTATTGTATCAATTAAATAAGTAAGTTACACTACCTTCTTAAAAACACCAGTCATCACTAGCAGTGAACAGAAAGCAAGAATGTAAATATTCTTGCAATCTCTGTAGCAATTGTCCATTTGCCAGTATAGAGTACTCGGAAGTCTGCCGTTCTATGATAATAGTAATAATTATAATAATATTGAATTAATTGAAGAGGAAGGAGTGTCATTTTTTGAGAATTTTCCATCTTTTAAAAGAGTCCTGTTACCTTAAGTTTATGTCTTCGCAGTGTCTCGAGCATGAAATTCATCGTGGAATTAGCATCATGTGGCCATCGCATGAGATCCAAAAAGCACATGGCCGTGTTGTTGCCGTGAGATATAGCTCCAGTAACATGCACTTTTAGAAAGCTGACATGTTCACCTTCGATCTGAATCATATAAATAAGCTTCAGGAAAATGTACTGTGACAACTTATTTTTGCGAAATGTATTTGACATGTATATAGCTTACAAACTTTTCAGTATTCATAAGGCCCGTTTACACTTGCAAGTTTTGCAGCGCGGTTGTCGCGCACCTCAAATTGTACGTGTAAACAGCTCTGCGATTGTCGCGGCGATCAAAAATCGCAGCGAGTTGCAGCTAAATTTTAAGTATGATCGAAACTCAGGCGATTGTCGCGACAAGTGTAAACGGGCCTATACACATATCACAATGACCTATACCTTTGAACCTATATAATAATAAGGTAGGCGAGTCTTTGCTTGATCCATGCCATCAAGAATGATCGATAGATATTTTTCCGGATTTCGCCTTGATTTGGCCTGGTGGCTATCATACTTTTTTCTCTCCAAACTGCAATTAGTGCATTTTAAGTTAAGCAAAAAAATTATGACACGGGACAAATGCGCAGAAAGACCAAAGCGCGGGAAAGTACACGTTATATGTGTACTATAAGTCAGTCACGTCTTTGTATCAGTACTTACGATTGCTGCAGCAGATGTTTTTCTCATCGCACAGAATACCCAGTCACATCCGGGACTTTTTTGGCTTTTGGGCGCGAAGTTTGAAATGCAGTCAATCAGGCGAAGAGTAGTCAATTAGCAAATTACAAAGGAAAGTAGGATCATCGCTCGCAGTGTTGTTCAATAAAGTTTAGATTTAAAGTGTTTGAAAAGATATTTAAAAAAGGTAGAAGGTGCAAAACAGAGTTGAAATGTCGATTTAACTTTTGCACCATTAAATCTAGACTTATCTTAAGAGGAAACATTGTTTTTGAAGCTTAAATTTGTCAAAAATAAGGCATTTTTGTGGGGCGTCAATATTCACACAGAATTTTAAGGCATTTTATAAATCCCTGTAAAAAGGTAGAAGGTGCAAAATGTATAAAGTGTTGAGAACAATATTTTGCACCATCTACTCGCAGATAAACCTTTTTCAAAGTATTATGTTTTTTAAGATGAATATTTGAGCTCATTAAACCACTGCCTTACGGCCGGCTTCAATTCCCACTGCGCCAGTCTTAAGTTATGCAGTGCGATATGTTGAGCCGGCTTCAATTCCCACTGCGCCAGTCTTAAGTTATGCAGTGCGATATGTTGAGCTGCTGAGTATAATGATACTAGAATTGAATTATCTTTTGCTTTGTTCTTTGTAATTGATCTGCTTCTAAACGGACATGTGAAATTATCCTACTTATAGAATAATTACTATTTAAGAGGACACGTTCAAGACTCCAATTCAGTCGCATTCTTTCAGTCATTTAAACGAGTCAAAGTCTTACAAGCAACAATCAAGAAATGGATCGCGCAGARAATTTTTCCGATCGGGAGCTCTTTTCAGAGCTCGTAGAACCCCCGATCATTCCTGTAAACCCACTTTTTCTAGGTATTCGTGAAACATCCGGAATCTCCGTTTGAGCTTGAAATCACCGGAGAAGCTTTATGGGAATTGCGCCATTACCGGCAAAGCACAAGAAATATGTTTAAGGCCCTATGCAGAAGTCTTTCGAAAATCCATTTTGAATTAACGGAAAGTTGTGAAGAGCGAGTGGCGGTGTGCCTGAAATCACACGTGCACCATTTTTACAAGAAAATGGTGGCTCATGGGTGCGATTCGAGGAAGAGAAAAGAACTAAGAACAACAACAGTCCAGACGATCCACCTTCACATCGATGAAATTGCAAAAGGCCCAGGCACCATAATCGAAGACCTGACTTTGAAAATCGAACGCATGGCTGAGGAAAGAAAGAACATGGAAGTAGAAAACGAGAAAAGAGCAGCTGAGCTTTATGATGCTATGGCAAAATTAAAGGCACTCGAGCGGACTCGCAATGCACACCGTGGAAAAGATTTCACCGAAGTTGGTGAAAGACAACAATGTCGTAACATTGGCGAAATACGGTAAGCTCTGGTCCATATATTATAGCGTTCTTAATAAATAACTTAATAGTAATAATGATTTACATTGAAATAGTGACAAAATCCTATTGATTATTTGCGGCGTTAAAGACAACAAATTNACGGAAAGTTGTGAAGAGCGAGTGGCGGTGTGCCTGAAATCACACGTGCACCATTTTTACAAGAAAATGGTGGCTCATGGGTGCGATTCGAGGAAGAGAAAAGAACTAAGAACAACAACAGTCCAGACGATCCACCTTCACATCGATGAAATTGCAAAAGGCCCAGGCACCATAATCGAAGACCTGACTTTGAAAATCGAACGCATGGCTGAGGAAAGAAAGAACATGGAAGTATGCTATGGCAAAATTAAAGGCACTCGAGTGGACTCGCAATGCACACCGTGGAAAAGATTTCATCGAAGTTGGTGAAAGACAACAACGTCGTAACATTGGCGAAATACGGTAAGCTCTGGTCCATATATTATAGCGTTCTTAATAAATAACTTAATAGTAATAATGATTTACATTGAAATAGTGACAAAATCCTATTGATTATTTGCGGCGTTAAAGACAACAAATTGCGAGTTACACATTCTTTCTCTGTTTTATCTCTTTTTGAATGATTTTTCTCTTTTTGCTCTTTGATATTCAGAAATCATGCAGAACAAGCACTCTGGTTTGCAGAGACCTTCGGCCTGATGCCACAGTCCCTTCACCTGACAGACCGAAACGGAAAGGAAATTGATATTTAAATTGGTATTTAAGCTAAAGTTATTGAGAAAGCATGTTACTTTGGTTTTTGCTTGGTGATTAATGAKATTTTGCTTGTAATCATTGTGAGTATGCGCCATAAAATCATTTTTTTTGTTTTAGTGTCGAGCGAGCAAAGTGAACCTGACATTGCCGAAAATCAGCCCTCACTTAGCACAGAAACTAATAGAAAAGAAGGTAAACTGCGGTGAGACTATAAAATGCAATAGTTTTAGAGACATTTTTAACTTGTATTCATTTCTGCAGGTGCCAAAGGCAAAGAATGCACATATYAAAAATTGYACGACCAAGAGAAAGAGAAAATCAAGTCCGTTGTATATATAATGYACAGATTTTCACTTTCTGGGYAGGYCTACCACGAATTGACGCAACTAGAGCCAAACTTGCCAAGGTCATATCTCGTCGAAGGTTGCATTAAGTCGTTAAACAAACGCTGGAACGTTACCAAGACACCCGGCATTTGTGCTGGTGCGGAATTGCCGTTTTCCATGTTACTGAGAAAAGAAATAGAGAAACTCGTGAGTATGATTATTGTATCAATGAAATATCCCTTGAATACTTTGTAATATCTTTCTATTGAATCTAGATTGTTCAACACGGAGCAGAAAATGTTACCAACTTAAGAGTCAAAATATCRGGCGATGGTGCTTCTATGTCTAGATCCAGTAATCTCTTCGTGTGTTCCTTTTCACTTCTTGACAACGCCAGAACCGCTTTATCCAGTGAAGGTATATTATTGTCAGTCGAATTCTTATCTTATTTTAAAGGATAGTAACGTTGACAGATATAGAGATAGATATTAAAAATTATAATGCTTTAATTTTGTAATTCGCTTAAATTMGACAGGAAACCATGCTGTTGCTGTAGTGAAGTGCTCAGAAGACTACAATATTTTGAAAACTTCCTTGAAAAATGTAATCAGTGAAGTCAACCAACTAGTTAAAGACAAAGCAATAAGTATAGATGGCCACAAAGTTAACCTTAGCTTCTTCCTTGGTGGAGATTACAAGTTCTTGTTGTTGGCACACGGAATGAATGGTGCTYCARCAAATCATTCTTGCATTTGGTGTAAGATTTTTAAGAATGACAGGTAAGGCTAACTTATTTTACAAATTAACAATTTTATGACTGAAATTAATAATTCAATTCATGAAGTTTCATGATTTGCTCTACTAAATTAATTGATTTCTATTAATAATTATTTTTTATGTTATGTGATTAATAGATGTGACCTATCGCTACCACATTCTCACTTCAAAACTAACAACTTAAAAAGAGAAAAAGGCGCCGACTGGCACAAACAGCCTGGATGCTTTGGACATCCCTTCTTTGACATACCCCTCAATAATGTTGTGATAGATGACCTCCACCTACTGCTTCGTGTCACGGATAGGCTGGAAAAAGGAATAGTCATGGAAMCTTTAGATATGGACCAGGTTTGGATATTTTATTGCATGGACATTAGTAAAATTYGTTTTTATATAATAGCTTAGAAAGCTTATGTGAAGTGTTAATGGTCTAAATAATGCAAATATACATGTTCAGTAGCATAAGCTAGCATTAACATCAATGGACTATCTTATATCTTGATAGCGTGAGAAGACTACAAAGCACACCCAGGCATTGATAGCAGCCATGAAAGCAATTGGAATAACTTTTGGAATATGGTAGAAAAGAAAAAGGAGAGCTCAGCATATGACTGGACTCCCCTTATGGGTAAAGAAAAAGCTCTAATGCTAAGAAGGCTTCCAGACCACTTCAGCTCATTTCTACAGCAATCAAGCGTTGAACCAACTAAAAAGCTTTGGGTGGTATGTGTAGTATTATATACATGTACTATAATAATGATCATTGTTATATACTGAAAAACAGTAATAGGCATTGTTTTCATTATTATTTACAGAAGTGTTTTTACATTGTATAGATATTTTTTTTAAATTATTCTTTGCCTTCACAGGATTTTGCACAACTATATMATCAAGTTAGAAGAGAAAACTCTGAACAAGATATTGCAGAATTTGAAAATAAGGTACTTTGGGCAAGAGAAAATTGACATGAAGTGTAATTGCTTATGGCTGCAACATAAATGATACTATACATGAACATAGAAATAATGATTAATCTTTTTGATTCAATTTTTACAGGGTTAAAATAGGTTTCAATTTTTGATTAACCTTGTTTTGTAATCTACAGGCACGAAGCTGGGGACAACATCTCTTGAACATGCGAGGGCATGGTTATACATCAGCAAATGCCATTACCCCATATATTCACATATTTATCTATCATGTACCTGATATGCTCAGGAAGTACACTAGCATTGCTATCTTTGCAGGGCAGGGTGAGTTTTTTAGTTCATAACTGTTGGTTAAACTGCTTGTTAATTTTAATATATAATTTCTATATATATGAGCTTTAAATTTGTAAGACTAATAACCTGTACTTTTTTTCAGGAGTTGAAAAGAAAAATGATGATTTTCGCAGAGCATATCACCGGAAGATCAACCGGTGGGATGCGTGCCACAGTCTTCTATTGATTGAGAAGAGACGAGAAAATTTACAAGATAAAAAAAGGAAAAAAAGAAATTACATCAAGATAGACAAAGRACACTGGCAGGAGGGAGGYAAATCAGAAGTTGTTCGCAAAATCCCAAGAATATCAAATGAGGTACTACAAAGTAAAATTTTAAGAAATTTACTAAGAATATGCACATTTTAATAATTTAATTATTATGGGGGCAAATGGGAGTCAAAAACCTATTTAATTCTTCTAAGGATCRTGTAATATTATGGCATTTACTTATTTCATTCTTATAATATCTGTTTATATTGTCTGTATTTATAGATTGAAACTGAGCTACAACCCATCCAGGAAACATTAGAGCAAATAAAGAAAATGAAGACCGACCAACTTGTGGAACTCCTGCTTTCACTCGGCATCAGTGTCCAGAAAAAGAAAACACCCAAGAAAGATATGATAAGAATGGTACTAGAAGTGGCCAAACCATCAGCAAGCTAGACCACCATACAAAAACAAAACACATACAAACAAACGGCTCTTTTCAGAGCCACCCAAATGCTTTAAAGTCAATACCATTATGCAATAAAAGTCAGTTATGAGAATATAGTGAATAAAGATATAAGTTATTCTACAATAATAAGACGTATAGCTTTAAGCTGAGGCTTACCATACATTTTGGAGGTTTATTAGTCTAAGAATAATAATTTGTAAACAATTCTTGTCCTCAAAGATACCTGCAACAATATATTAAGAACGCTAACTACAACTTGCAGTTTCTTTCAATGGAATGACCTTCAAATTACCTCAAATTTGGCTTGAAAATGAAATTGAAACATCCGTTCTTGATCGTATGACAACTGGCCAAGTTAGAGCGGGCTCAAAATCAAGGCGGCCGAGAAGAGCCTGTGTAAATTTTGCGTAACTTGTGAAAACGGAAACMTTGCACTAACACTAGTATCGTAGTATTCGAAAACTCATGGCTTCTAACGAAGAAAGACACACYGTAAGATAATTCTATTCTAAGAATGCAATTATAATGGTATAATGTATTTTACAATGTGATAACTTATTMCCTTTTCTTACAAAGATTGAASTTCGTGARGCCGCCCTTKAGGCTTACCTTGAAGAACTGTCGTCGTACCTACAAGGCCACCTCGACATCATTGACCAGGTACTTGCTTAAATATTCAACTTTTCTTACAATGACGAATTCTTTATGGAAGTTTTGTTCCAAATGAAAAATATGTTATTATAAGTCATTCCGAAGGGTTTTTTTGTAGTAATTAGGGTGAGGGATCATTACGTTCAAGTTAGAAATGAACACTTAAACATCAACAATACTCAAATAACTCTATTGTATTCTCGCGTTTTGCAGTTTTAGTGAAAACYACTTATTTCTTTTTGTCAAAACGATTGCTTAAGCTACTAAAGTGACGCAAACTCTCATATTACACTTTGAGTGAACCTGACTTGTCTTTATCCCCAGAGACATCGCAACATGGACTATATTACGAGATGGTAAGATTTTCTTTTTAGGATCGTGTATACGCTTTTTCGTATTAAAAAGTTTCCTAATTTCATCTAATGGTATGTTATAGGAACTTGAACACATTGCAGAATGGATTTGCATTTTTGCACTTTAAAAAAATTGCTTAGAAGTAGCTGAATTCAAATTAATTGCTGCAGAAAACAGTCTAAATACCTACTTTTGATTTTATGTTTTTTCAACCCTTTCTCTCTCAATTTCAAAACTCTCAAATTTTAGCACATTTCCAAAACTCTCATTAAAAACATCATTGAGWTGTGGAATTAAAGAGAAAAACAATGGTATCCTCAAATTTTATGAAAAATATATTCCACATTGAACAAAATGAATGAAGAGAGGCAATCATCCAATAGACTGATAGCCTAGGAAGATAGCTATGGAAAAAAATACTAAATACGAACTAAATCTGCAAAGATGCGGTAACTCAATCACAAAAATGCATACATTTGATGGATTTATGAAGCCATAGTAACTTGAGTTGTTCATTAAAGTAAAACACTAAAAAAAGACTGCAAATTTATGAACCAAGCCCAAGACTTCGCTGATTTCATAAATTTTTGAACCAAGCCCAAGTCTTCACTGATTTCATAAATTTATGAACCAAGCCCAAGACTTCGCTGATTTCATAAATTTTTGAACCAAGCCCAAGTCTTCACTGATTTCATAAANCAGTGAACTGATTGGAAGCAATCATTGGTTTATTTCGATCCTACCGGTGAATATAAATAGGCACTAGTTTCTTCATATGTTCATAAACGCAGTAAAAGATGGACAAGCAGAATACAGAACATCCGAAGACTCCACCAGTTACGCCACCAGTAGAAAGAAAGGACAGAACCGACGATCATGTCCATCAAATGGAGCGGTTTAATTTCGTTTCTGCGCCTCCACTAGTGAGGCAAAACGCAATTTGCATTAGACGGCCTCGCAACAAACCGAAGAAGTAGCTGCATGCTACTAAAATAACAACGGCTCTTTTAAGAGCCACTACACGAATGGAATTCATGACCCATATGCTTATACGAGTCATCTTAGGTGATGCTACTTAAGGATTTTTACAAGTAACTCTACAGTGAAGTTTGTTTTTAATTCAGCGTGTATGTATATTTTTGTCCACTGCTAAGTTGAAACTTTTGAATTTACTTGAGGTTTTTCAGCTGATTTTGTTATTCTTAATTCGGCAGCAGCAAAAAAAAACGAATTTAAAACACGGACCTGGACCGATTGTCTAGTTTAAAAAACACTTTTAAAAAGTCGGACGGAGACTAATTGCCTTTGTTCTGAAATTTATCCTTTTCGCAAGTATAAAACAAAGACGTCGTTATAAAGAACAACAGCGACGGAAATGCATTGAATTTTGAGTGCTACTAGAAAGCGTTGTCGGGATGCAATATCCCCATGAGAGGCCATTATGGTAGCCAATCAGAACTTTGACCACTAATGTATTCAAATTATGCCTTGTTTGAATAATTTGCAAGCTGTAAGTAAATGTCCAGAGAACAATAGCCATTCTGTGCGATGTTGACCTCAAGCCAATGATTACGTGTTTTTTCCCCTTAATTTTCAACAAATTTTCCTTGATAAGTGTACTAACGCCGCATTTCGTAAATCTGTTGATCTTTATCAAAACAGAGAAGAACGGGTTAAAACAAAGTGAGAAGTAGATATATTTACAACTCAATGTTCGTGTTTTTTATTAAATTGCGGCCTACCTTTGGTATTGTGACATGGCGATAATGTTGCTTCCATATTCTCCTAAACTGTGTATGTGAAAGTGGAAGGTCTTCTGTCTTCTCGATGGTCTCTTTGTATGTTAGGTACACCTGTTGTTTTGTAATACACGAAGGGAGGTGAACTTTATCGTTGTCTGGCATCCTGTCTCCCATCAATTTGATATAGTCATCAAACAAAGCTCCGCTTGTCTGGCTCTGTCGGATTTGACAACCATACCAACTTTGGAGCTGACGGGAGAGCAACGCCCTTTTTCCAAATCATTTCGTAGGTTGTGAAATCTGTAAAAAATAACAAAAAGTTTAATTGAGTACTTGAAATAGCACGTGAAGCAGTTGAAAAATCCCTACGTAACATAAATGTCTGTACATATAGTGTGTGTAGATTTCAAACATCAGTGGGACATACCTGCCATTGCTTATGCCATGTATCTTTTTCCATGCATTTTGGCATAGGTCTTTTCCTCTGAATGGATATCCCGTGTAAATTATTTTTCCAYATAGATCCTTGGTGTGGTTTAGATATAAAAAGTCGAGAATATAGCTTCTTTGCTCCTCTTGGTCCATTTCCCAAAAATGTTTTAGCGTCCCCTCTATTTCCTCGGGAGAAAATTTTTGCGAAATGSACATTTTTGAGCAGCAATCCTGTTCTTCCGTCAGAAGCTTATGTAAATAAGCCCCACTTGTAATAATCTGACTTCTTTTGGTTTTGCTCTTATTAGACTTCATTTTCAATTTCGGGACTGCATTTACTAGTGACGTGCTTCTGGTAGTTTGGTTAGTATTAGATGGCTGCAATGGTTTCAGCACAGCTTCATTTTTCTCCTCCTCTAAACTCGCAATACGATAATGAGCTTCATCATCATCTATGAAGTCGTCATTACCAGAATCGTCGCCCAAATCGTCATCACTGAATAAACGAGCATCATAGTCATGATCATCCTCGCTAGAGCAACTGTCATCACTGTCGCAAAAATCGTTGTCGGACTGCATCCCCTGTCAAAATTGATAAATGTTCAGAATTGGAGTCAGAATACAATCGGGTTTGGGTAGAAACTGAGCTTTGACTGAGATTTAGTAACTTAGTTGTAGGCCTGATGATACACCAATTGTCATTTTCAAACACACGGTCACATACAAAACAATAAAATGTTAAAATTTTACTGCAAGACATGAGGAACATGATGTGTTTTACCAGCAGACTTGAAATGAAAAGTTTCATGCCTCTGATTTATTCGATTTTTGAGTAAACAAGTCATCCACGAGAACTACTATATAAATGCACAACAGATAATTTAACTTACCTCTAAACAGGTATGTTGCCGCGTAATTTGCTTTGGCTAACAGATCAGAGTGGGCCTGTTTCTTTTAGATTTAGTTACTTTTTATATGTAGAAAAGTGTATTGATTATCGGAATTAGGAAAAAGACAGTAGTATGACTCAATGTAGGTTTGGTTCAACCTTGATCGAATCATACAAATAACACAACTCTCTCTTGTCATGTACTTCGGTTGTACTAGTTTGTATTTCCCGCGCGTATTTGCTTAGGGAGGATAAAAGGGTGCCATTGGTTTAAACAGAAAACCATATCTTAAAGTAAGCAAATCATCTTATGGGGGAGTGGCATTAACTGTGTTGATGTGTCAGCAATGGTAGTCATTGTAACATCAAATGGATCAAATAACCATGAAGCGTCGCCAAAAACAGACTTTCGAGATATGATTCAAAACAATCTACGAACTATGTTCAAATTTTGAATGTCTCTCATTTTTCCCGCCTTCGAATGCTAGGATTTTCAATTACCGGATATGACATATGCATTGTTTACCGCATATGTTTGCGCGAAAAGTGCGCTCAAATCGCCACAAACATCATTATTGTACTTACAACACGCTCGACAATCAGCTCTCCTTTAAAACTGATCATGGATCACACAAATTATATGTTGCACATTGCTCCAGCCCCTCCTGGTGATCAACGACCAGTGGATAATTATAATCTATACAACACACCTGAATTTATGGACACGGTGCGTCTTATGCGAATAAGCTTGATGGAGCGTCTAAAGGATTCCAAGATGACGAGAAAAGAAATTATCAAGCAGTGGAAGTTGCATAACAAGAGTAGATTTCCCACCATCAAAGTATGTGTGAATACATTTTACATCAATAGTATGATTCTACGTAACATACATTTGACAATTCTTTTACATGATCATTCTTGTTGTATTTTGACATTTTGTATACTATGTATCAAATGGTATTGGAAGGATTGAAGATATTATTATTCTTGTAGGACTTCAGGAAGTACGAACAAATTGCCCAGTTCAGTGAACGGAACTGGGACATGGTATGTGTGATCGAGCGTCGTGCTCCGTCAGTTTTAAAGTCGGCCAAAATTACCACATATACTTTTAAAAACATTCGCCCCACAATGGAAGAGACGGAAATATATGAGATTCTTTGTGGGATTTCAAGCGGTGAAGTTAAATTGGCTGAATTAAACAGAGTGACTCCACAAATGGTATGTACCCATATCTTATATGTGTTAAGTGAATGATATGTAGCTCACGTAGATCTAAAATGCTTATCATAGACAAATCCACAAACAAGTCAAATCGATTACTGCTCCAAACGGGATCACTTACAAGTATGTTTAGTCTTTGTTGCTTACAAACTATAAAATGTCCGTGTATTTTCAGTTAACGATAACTTATTGACAATAACTTATTTCCCTTTAATAATAAACACAGTTGGAAAAAAAGATTGAAAAGCTCGAGACAAGCTTAAAAGAAACTACTGCGAGCACAAAAGCGGTAATAGAGCATTCCGATTTATAGTATATAATATATAGTACATACGTTCATTTATTCATCCGATCTCTAATAATACAGATGACCATCGAGTTGGCCCAGGTATGCAAAATTGTGTGTAGCTTGGAAAAAGAAAGGGACACTTTCAAAGACAAAGTAGCAGAGGTATGCCAGGGACGGTAAACACAATCAATAAACGGATATACTTCAAACTAAAGTTTTGTTTACTTGTAGCTTTTGAACGAAAGAAGGCAATTGGAGCAAACAATAGACTCTATTGTTGAGCAGACAACCGAAGACCGCCTTAAATTGGAAGAGGTACTTAGTTATCATAAGTCTTTTGAATGTATTGTTTCCGAACAAACATTTCTACTAGCTGAATCTGTATGCTCAAAGTTCTTGTAAAAGCACACCGTTTATGCGAATAAATTATTTGTCGTGAATTATTGCCTCACTCAGACTCCATTCCTTACAGTGCTGCTAATTCAACCGGGGCCACCTAGAGTTTTTTAGCCAATCACGTTTGACCTTAAGAACAAAAGGTTTCTACTTTGTGTATTTATCAGCCAATCAAAATCTAGGCGCGGCAGTTCAAACTACCGATACAATATTTTGAAACACTAAAAAAACAGAAACACTAAAAATGACTGTCCAGCTTCGAGAGAATCAAATTGCAGGCATTTACGATAATGGACGTAAAAATTCTCGACTTTTACGCGAAAGAGTTTTGGATTTAAATCATCAAGGGTACTCTCAGAGAAGAATTTCTCAAGAAGTTCACGTAAGTCGCCATTTCGTACAGAATGTTTTGCTTGCGTACGACATTACAAATTCCAATCAGCCGCCAGCTAAGAAGCACAAAGGTCGTTCTGCCCTCTCTCAAGATGCTTGTGAATGTATTGAGATGGAGAAATTATGCAAGCCAAGCGTTTATGCAGCAGAATTGCAAAATCGACTTGTGTTTGACGGGATTGTACACCCTGTTGACATTCCACATCGCGCTACAATCGGTCATTACCTGCGAAAAGATCTCCTGATGACCAAAAAGAAAATACATTCTCTTCCATCAGAAGTAAATACAAGAGCAATAGAAGAATATACAGACTTTTATCTTGACCAAGTTANTGGGAAGAAACGGAGCCGACGCTGCGGGTGAAGCCATTATAGACATAGAGGGTACGATTGGTGTAAAACCAACGGCAGCGGCTGTGGGTGGATTAGATCCGGGGAATAACTCTCTGGGTTGTAGATTATGAGATGTAACTGTTTTGGGTTCGTTCATCAACTTCGCAAGCTCTGTTTCAAGGATTCTTTTTTCCGCCATCTTAAGCTTCTGCGGTGTTGGGAATAAGACATCGAGATCGGACGATCTGAAGTACTTCAAAGAGCCAACCGTGCTAAAGCCACGACTTTCAAAGTCTTCTGCTAGCCTTTCCAAGCCAAGGCCGTTCGATATTGAGCTTAACCATTGAAAAACCTCTGACATTTTGACATAAAAGGTCTTGATGAGACGTTTCCCGCGATAAATAGTAAACTACGCCGGAATCCTCTATGTTTGGTGATCGCCGCGCCTAGCTTTTGATTGGCTGATAAGTACACAATGTAGAAATCTTTTGTTCTTAAGGTCAAACGTGATTGGTTAAAAAACTCTGGGTGGCCCCGGTTGAATTAGCAGCACTGTAATAATCACTAGCACATCGCCAACCTAAAAGATGAACTTGAGGACGAAAAAAATAAAAGTATCCACCTGATGGAGGAAAGCCTAGAAATAGATAAAGTAAGACTGTGGAAAATTTCTTGTTTTTTTTTTAACTTTTCGATCTGATTTTTAATTCATAGCGTTGGATATATGCAAACTATAAAAGGAATGATATCTATAAAAAGACCTTTTTGCGCAAACATAGCCTTTGTTAGTGTTATCAAGCTGCCGGTATCGATCAATCAATCAATCAATCCATAAGGCCGGCAAAGACGTGGTTACTCAAATGCGCAATCCATAGGCTAATATCTTTATATTGAATTTGTTGTTTTGTGTCAAATGAAAAAGATGATGTCGAAAAAAAGACCTAACTACTACAAAATATGCTAGAATATCTACTTTACTTCATTTTTTGTTTATTTCGAAGGAAGTGCCAAACGACAAGCCACTTTCACAAGAAGCTAATAACTCGGATGATGCCTTGAAGGTTGTACTGTACATTGTTTTTTAAATCGAGTGTATTTACCGTAAACGTTTTGTCAATGAAGTTCTTGTAACAGTACTTCGATCAATTCATATAACTTGCATTTTTACATTTTCAGCATTAAATAAGCCGACCAATCAACACATCATCAATACACGACGATCTGACAATAAAATTAAAAGAAGAAAAACTTGAGGTATTAATGCTTCTTATTTTGCGTTTGTTTTCAAACGTAACGAAGTCGGCAAATGAATATTTTTTTTCCTTTAAGGTAACTGTCTCCGCTGGAGAGCTATTATTTTGTGACAGCGATGATTTTGATTCATTTTTAACGGTGGACAACTCAGAACAACAACCGGTAGGTTTTGTAGATCGGATGTTGGACAGAAAATGTATCACTAACGGCAAATGGGATAAGTTATTTGTTCTTAATTTTTAGTATAGAATAATAGCACTTCAATGTTTTTGCCAGGGTACCGAAACTTCAAACTTCACTAATCAGGACATCGATGACATACCAACCACCGTGACATTAACAGTGAGTAATCAGTGAAGTTTGCTTTTACTATAAAAGTCCAACGTCCCCGACCTCTGGAAATAAAAGAGGAAGCTAGATTATGTTAACTTTTTGTTTGTTTGATTGCTTGTTTTTATGTTTTTGTCTAGAATGAATCTACACCAATCCCTGGAAAAGAACGAAAGAAAAACTCCAAGTCGTTACTTAAGAGTAAAAGGTAAGTAAAAAGAGTGTTGAATATACTCTAGTTTTGATTTGTTGTTTATTTATTTAGTAGACTTATCCATGTCATTTTAAACTGAGCCATGTGGGATTTACACATCTATCTTTCTTTGTCACAGTTAAAAGATCAAGAACGTCAAGAAGTAAAAAAGCCAACGAAGGCAGTGATTAAACACGTTTTGTCACTAGAATGTAAAACTGATACTTCAGTAAGCAATTCCATTAGTAGAATGTTGCTCACCGGTTTTCGTGTAAGTTACAAGCCTATCGAGTAACAAGTCTCTTTTCATTCGAAGGAGCAGCAACAGCAATTAAAAAGACAACGTACTGACGAGGTACATGGGCAGTAAA